GTGTGTGTGTGTGTGTGTGTGTGTGTGTGTGTGTGTGTGTGAGAGAGTGGGAGGGGGGTTAGCATTAGAGAGTTGTATTACAGTGGTGATGAGTCGCCTGGCTGCGAGGCTGATACCTCAGCAGCACCCAGCATTGACCAGGCCTTTAAATAAAGCCTTCGATCCTCCAGCAGCAGAGAAGGTCACCGCCTTCCTCTGGTTTCCCTGCCTGTCTGTCTGCATCCACGACCAGGAGCCCTCCCGCCATGCGTTCCTCCCTTACCTCGCCTCCTAACCTCCTTCTGTCCTCTCGTCCCGGCGTGTGTGTCTGCATTCAAAAGCAGGCGCCACACTTTCCACAGTTTCTTACCTTCAGTCTTAAGTTTTTCTCAGTTCCTTTCATCCATCCTTCCTTTTTTTTTGCTTTTATAGCCTTTGTTTTCCTACTACAAGTATTACAGTATAAAATCTAGTCTTCGCTATCCCTCACTCACTCCATCAATCCCACATCCCTCCATCTGTGTATCTGCCAGAAATAAAACAAAACAAAAATACTGTATAGTGTCTGTCTCTGCAGAGTGAGCAGAGGGGGACACAGGAAGTCAGGGGGTCAAGACAGAGGTGAAAGGTTTTGGTCTCATCCCATGAGTTCGGTGCATGTCACCCCTCCGTCATTCAAGCAGCACTGTCAGAGCCCCAACACAGTGATGCCAAACATCGCATGCAATGGATGCTGTGAGAGAGTGATGAGTTTGGTTGTGAAGTGAGAAATAATGATAATCAGCAGGTGTCTGCTTTCCTTGTTAAAGCAAATCATTTTACCTAATATCTGATGCAAAGATGAACCTTTTAGATGAACTGAAATATTGATTATCAAAATACTGATCAGAGCTAAAGATTTGAAGTTTCAGTAGTTTTTATCAGGAGATCCTGTCTGTATTTAAAGTGCTTCAATTAAGAGCACAAAGCAGGTAACAGAAATATTATAGTAGCTTTCAACTTTTCTACTTCTCTACAATAATGTAATAAAACATAAAGAGCTTTCAGGAGTTAAAACAATGCATAAGCAGCTCTCTAGTATGGTTATTGTTTATAATTAATGTTTTACTTGATGCATTTCTTTTCATTTTAAATCTATTTTGTTTTGTGCTGAAACCTGCGAGTAAAGGAGAATTTGGACAATAACTAATTATTGCTATGGATATTTAATGGCTACTGAAAGCTGTATCATTAAAATCTTAGTAAGAACATGGTCTGTATTTAGTTTATATCTGCAGGAGGATTTAGTCTCCAGTGCCACCAATCATTAAAATATTAATTTAAATTTTATTTTCACCTTGCATCAAAAACAGCAAAAAATGTTTTAAAGATGTTGTTTTTGTTGAAAGTGTCAAAGATGAGCATCAAGTTACCTCAGACTCCAGGGTGGCGGGGCCGAGAGGGCACAGCTCTCTATCACAGATGGAGGAATTTTCTTGACGTCCTGCAAAAAACAAAACAGGACGAAAAATTAAACACACTTTTTTAATGAAACAGAAGTGCACACTGATGTAAACACAACATATTTCCGACATTAAGTAATGGCTATCTGGTTCCCAAAACTGGCAATGACTGTAAAAGTCAGGGGTAATTTCAGTCGGCTTAGAAAACTGGTAATGCTGTGACTGAATAATGAATATGAGGTGCTCGTACAGTTCCCCAAAACCAACCTGTTATGTTACTAAAATAATATCAAGTGATTCTGAGCTAATTTTTATTCATATTCATTTTTTTATTTGTATTTAATGTGTTAAATGCAGGGATATTTTGATCAGTTAAACATCAGGAGTAGATTTGAATAAAAGGTTTAAATTCAAGCAGTTTTTATCCAGCTCGTTTACTAAACCATGGATACAGACAGATGCATTCAAATATGCTGACAATGAGACGTAACTTAATTATTTTAATAACATACACAAAAAAAACTGTATGCACAGAACAGTTTAATACAAAAAGGAAATCACTGCAGTTCACATTGTTATAATATTTTTCAAACTATTTTGTAATCTCCTATAATTTAATTTCTACTCCATTGTTCATAAAACTATCCAAATTTAGGCTTCTTTTTTGCAAATAATTTCATTAGAATATAATTAGATGTATCATAAATGATAAAATCCTACATTAGATCATGCTTACATTCATCAGTGTTTATAGGTGTCCCACAGCAGGGTATTTGCATATTTTTGCAAACATATGCATGCATGATCTGCACACCTGTGGACATTATATGAAGACACGGCAGCGATGAGGGTGAATAAAGGAAATCCGAGTAATGAATCACACTAAAAAAAAAAAAACTAAAAAAAAGTTTTTGCTTCTGAGAGTGAGAAATGAGGCAAAAGAAGGATGTTTAATGCCCCTCAATCCATCTTTAAGCAACAATGAAAGCCATTCATTTCCCTGTAATCCGATTCACACTGGCACCAAATGAACTCTGACGCGTTCGGGTATGAAGCAGCTCCCAGTTACAGACCTGCAGCACAGAGAAGACCTTAAAAAGCACCAAAGTATGGAGAGACTCCCAGATGTACAGCAGTTTAAATAAACTGCTGTACATCTGGGTGAATCTGCAAAGAACTGCATGCACCTGTTCATGAAAGTAAACACAGAGCTGGTTAGGCACAGGGTCAGAAACACGTAGACACATAGCGTCGACATGCACGTCCATTTTCCAACTCAAACAGACACGCACTGACACACACATGCAAACAGGGCTTTGTACAAGGGAGGTCCATGTGCAGAAGGCAACACACATAGCGGCAACGTGTGGGGTCAAGGCCTTTCCCAGGTACAAATGAAAGGGAAAGCAGAGAGTTTGGAAGAGCTGAAAACACTGTCGGTCACCTTGCTTGGCAAAGAGATCAATGTCTGCTGGACTGACAGGGAGAGAGAGACAGACAGAGAAGTGGCTGCAGCAGAAGGGTAAATCACCTCTTGCTTCATTGAGATGCAGGTAAAACACACAGGGGTCGGGCTCGGCTCCAGCTCCACCCTGCATAAAACAAACTCATGCATAGCCAGACCTAAACATGCACACAGACAGCTTCTCACACACCCACCCACACAGTCGCATAATGCACTCACTTGTCAAACACCCCCCCTCCCTGAAACCACGTTCGCCGCGGTCCAAAACACACCACTTCACTGACTCTGTGCCCTGAAACTCAACTCACTGTTGAAAACATCAACACAGCCTCAGTTATGTTTATCTGCAAGTCAGAATATTGTGATCCCCTATAATTAAATCATAATTAGCTTTCATCTATTGCCCTTTAGTTATGCATTCTGAGGACAGCTTCCTCCACAAGCAAATGCAAATCTACTCCAGTGTCTATAAGCACATTCTTTTGCATCTCTGCATTTAAAGCTGTCTCAATTTAACGCGCAACACTGTAGATTTGGATCCACACAATCACATTTCAATCACTCTGCCCATGATTGTATTTGGCCTGTGGAAAAAAAATACAAGCATGCAAAGCCAATCAGAAACATTCACAGGAAACACCACCAACGTTTTACGGCCGTTGCTTTTTTACCACATGCATAGCCGTGACAGGACGGACAAGTTAAATTATTAAGCTTTTTAAATAAATGACATAACTCAGGACACTGCGAGAGGGTGAGAGAGGAAGAGAAGCTCGGGCACTGCGGGTCTAGATGATGGACGGACCACAGAGGAGCATAAAGGCAGCCGATTTAAATCACTTTAAATGTAAATGTTTATCGTGTGGAGTGATGCAGATGCGGAATGAGTAGGAGAGATTGAAATTGTTTCCTCTTGTGAATGCGAAAATGTTTTTAACCCTTTTCAGGGGTTTGCCACGCTTGGGAAGGAAGCGTTCGCAGGGGAATGACAGAGAATGAACGTGCACACGTAAAAACTGCCGTGTTGCTGTGCTGAATGAATGAGACATGCAGAGACATGCAATCCTAACATTATTTTAGTAAAAAAGCAGCTTTTTTGTTTGTTTTAAGTCAGTGGTTGGTGATAGCTCTGAATGAAATGATAACATATATTTTTACATTATGAAAAACAAACACAGGTACAACTGTAAAGATCTACTGCACGGGCTTGAACTTTAACTGTGTTGCTCTTAAATTAATTGCAATTGTATTTTACTACAAAAAAAGATTAAATGCATAGCTTCTTATTTTTAGCATTACACAATGAAGACTACAAATATCTGAATTTCATGACACAACGACTCATTCTTACAGATTTACCACCCTCCCTTAAAGCATACATACACGCTTCCGCAACAAGGTCACATAAAAGACAATGCAGGCAGGTTATTGAGCACTCACACGAACAGACACTAACCACTGTGCATATCCTTTTGTCCTATTAATTCTGAGACATTAAAGCAAAGTACATGATGATGATTTAAATGTCAATACTGATAAATTTCAGAGTGATTTCCCATAGTTGACCTGAAAGAGAGTCCAATATTGTGACAGCAGACAACTACATTATCTTTAATAACCTAATCATTGGACAGACTGCAAATGATCAGAGTGAAGAAGTCAATATGCTGGGCCAGAGAACAGAATTACAGTTCATACTGATAAGATTAATAAGGTGGAGTGTCTATATGGTGCGTGTACACACTTTTTCATGCTGTGCAAATAACAGAGGAAGCAAAACACAGCGAAAGAAGCAGTGATTACGGCTGCTGAGAAGTGAGAAGGAAGCCCTGAATTGTTGTTTCCTGTGCATTCTGTCCTCCTCCAAAACAGGAAGTGAATCAGTACTACTAAATCCCGCAGCCCCTCGGTGTGTCTAGAGGTCAAAACACACCCACAAACAACCGGCATCCCACACAATTTCCACAGCCCTACAACGATCAGCAATTTTCCGTTTTATCCTTCTTACGCATTGATGCCGGAGCACAAACCCTAGAAGCCTGCGAACCGTGACACAAAAGCGGCCCTCGATCTGCTACTTAACAAATTCACAAAACTGTTGTTGTACAAACAGGTAGAGCCGTCCTGAGCAAAGTCCAGAGGAAACCTCGCTAATCCTATCAGGCTCACATAAGAAAGGGGTGACATGAAAGAAGTATAGTATCTCCAGTTCTAGGTTATAACACAAATGTAATTAAATAGCACACTATATTGACCTAATCAGATAGGAGGGCCATAAATTAGTGGACACATGCTCACTAAAAGGCCGTCTCCTCTCAGCTAGGATGCATCTCTGATCGTTTATCATCTGAAAGGAGCAGGAAGGCAGCCAGCATATCTCTCTCTCTCTCTCTCTCCTCCCTCTCCTCTGTATTGCTCTCTCTCTCTCTCTCCTCCTTGGGCCCCATCCCTGTCTCTCACTCTCTTTTAATCACAGAGAAAATCCTTCCTTCAGGCATGAGTGGATCATGCTTTGCCATCTTGTCCCTCACTCCAGGCTTTCATGGAATCCATATGAGCCAGGTGACAGTGTCACTGTTGTACAAGTGAGACTTAGAACCAAATACACAGTCCACAGTCTTTGTTTTCAGCCCGACACTGAAACATTCACCACTGCGGTGCATTTTAAGGTTTCCACGAGATGGACACTTTTCCTAGTCTGCACACACTCTGTCAAAGGGTCCCTCAGAGGGACAACCCAGTAGCACTTCTCTGCATACACCCATGCGCAAACACACACACATGCACACACACACAACCACAAAGATTTCCAGCAGCATGCATTGTAGTGACCTTGTATGGGAGCCTGAACCAGACCCCATGCAGCTTTTATAGCAGCCATACTCCTCTTAGGGATGCACCGACTTCATCGGGAAGGAAAGGCGTCCCAGGCCACATTTGCCGGCAGGTTGGAGGGCTACAAGACCTGTCACTCGCTAGCAAATCAAATTACCCCCCGGGTGTCTCCTGTGCCTTTAATTCAATCTTTTCAGCATTTTTATGTCATAAGTCGAAGGATTTTTTTTTTTCAGTGAAATGAAAGTGAGGCATTTCAAAAAAAAAATTGTTTGGTTAAAAATATGAGGCGTGATTTGATTTCCAAAAAGAAAAGAAAAAATATGCAAAACTGCGGAATTATTGTGGACTGGCAAATGACACGTCAGAGAAAAAAAAATTGCGACATGTTTGTGTTCAATCGCACATTTGCCTGCACACACGACTAAATGCATAACGTTTGCCACGCAGCGCTTTATCTACGGTCGATCTGAATTAAAACCTTTCCACAGGCAATGTTCAACAAGTGCACATGTACCGAGTGAAAAGTGCAAGTTTACTCTAAAATCAATCATTAACTGAGCGTTTGCAGGTGACCTGCAGCACAGATATCAGGCCACAGGGCGAAAAACGAAAAATTATATAAGAAAAACTGAGCGCTATTTTTTCATTTTCACACACGCTTAAAAAGAACAAGAAGATTTTGTCTTTAAATACGCAACAGGTGAAGGCCGTCATTTTTTTCTAAAAAAAAAAAAAAAAAAAGCAAGGAAAAAAAAGCAAAAAAAGCAAAAGCCATTAAAAGAAACCCCTTAAAATTATTTGCCAAGATAATTTAAAATAATAAAAATTTAAAAAGATAAAACCGCATTTAAAGGAAAACACATGGATAAACTGCACCAGATCACAAAGTTGGAATATACGCAGTCTACTTGATGTTTGGGAGCTGCGATAATTACACGGCTTCCAAGCAAACAACACGTTTATGAACGAGATGCTTTTGTTATTGCAATCCCGCAGAGGAAATTCGGATTCGTTACAAGCCTCAGTGTGTGGCGTCGCCTCAAAGACACAAAGACAAACAAGCAGTAAAACTGAACAGAACAAAAACGAACATCATCAGGAAGGCGCATTTGTTTCCATTCATGGAGGTTTATTGACGAATGGTAACATTAGATTCAGCTTTTTAAAGTGAACAGGGCGTGTGCCTTTTACCTGTCCTGTTCAGTTTCTAACTGAACAGATAATCAGGGCGTCACAAAAAGACGAATGGCTGCTTGATGCTTTTCCTTAGATATTCTGCAACACCGGGGGAACCTTAAACTTCAATTTCCAAACAGTTCACAGTGTGTTTATCAGAAAATAAAGAGGAAAAAAGACCCATAGGGCTCCGAGTGAACTTAATCAGCCTCCTTAAATGAAAGGAAAACACATGAACAGTGAACTTCTACAAGACAAAGATCATTTGTTGCATAAAGTAGCCCGTCCTCCACATATTTTCAGGAAATCTGCTTTGTTTTTAATCTTCAGCTCCACTTGTTGATCGCAATAATTTTAGTGCTAGTGTTGGAAATTTTATAATTATTGCTTATAGTAAATATGTAGATGCTGCTCATCTTGATGCCATATTGCCTAACAGAAAAAATCAATACTGAGCACATTGTTGCTTTACATGAAGTCCCCTTTCACTCCCCCCCACACACACAAGGCTCCAAAAGAAGCCAATAAAATGTTGAAAGGGTCGAAAACGCGGTGAACTTTCATTAAAGAAAAGAGGCGCATAAATAGCCCTGTTCACTTGCTTTACATATTAAAAAAAATCAAAATGATAGTGAAACTGAGCAATGCAGTCACGGTATAATACAATTATACACAAGTTCACAAAAAGGTAGAATAAAAAAACAACCAAAAACAGAAAAAGAAGAAAAAACAAACAAACAATCCGTACATGACCAGCATGCATGGCTTCATTTAACTCACACAAGTCTCTCCAAACTTTGGCGCAGTTTGGATATTTTTCATCAGACAGGATGAATGACATGAAAATGAAGTAAAGCATATTAAAACAGAGTGACTTTAAACAACCAAACAAAATCAAAATCACATCAAATAAAGCTGTTGAGTCTGAAAAGTTCTTTGTTTTAATTCACAAAACAAATATGGGTTTAAAGGGAACAGGATGGATGAGGCGCAGGAGGAAGGCTATGCGATGGGTCGCAGCAGGATGGTAAGTTTATGCAGTGTCTATAAAGGCAAACATCACAAAGTGGAGAAAAATCCTTTTAAAAATGTATGGGTACTGTATTTTTATCCAGAGTCCTTTCCTAATTTGTATTCTTTAGAAAGTAAAAAACAAACAAAACAAAACAAATCTGGGTTTCTGAAACAATATACTTTTAAAATGACACAAATTGGGAAAAACTGGTTTAGTCTTTAACTAAAAGCAGCTTCAACACAATCACACAAAACCTATTTTAGCTGCGCGCAAACTCTTTTTCTTTTCTTTCTTTTTTTTTTGGTGAGGTTCGCTTATTAAAACTTTTCAGCGCCGGGACTCACATGAAAAACTCCGGGGAAGAAGGGTTGTTGTCGCTGCTGGATCCTCCGTTTTCTCTGAAGCCGGTGCTGATCAGCTTCTCGTATTTCTCCTTGTAGGCGTCCCTCTCCCTGGCCAGCCGGGAGATCTCCTGCTTGAGGTGGTCCACCTGCTGCATGAGTTGCGTCTTCTCTCCCTCCAGAACGTGCCGCTGCTGGACCCGCTTGTACCGACAGGACTGGGCATAGCCTCTGTTCTTTAGCGTCCTCCTCTTCTGTTTCAGACGGATCACCTCTTCCTTGCTGACCCCCCGCAGCTGCCGGTTCAGTTCCCGCACCGACATGGTCACCAGCTGCTCGTCCGTGAACCGCTCTTCCAAGCGCAGGTGTTGGTGGTTTCCCCCCGGGCCGCCGCTGGACTGAGACCCGGAGGAGGGGTGGTGTGCCCCTGTGTGGTGGTGGTGGTGATGATGGTGGTGGTGGTGGGGAGCCCCGTTCTGAGCTGCGGCTGCAGCGATAACCGCGGACACCACTGCGGCCGCTGATCCCATCTCCTCCCCGGCCATTGCGCCCCCCGCGCCGGCTGCGCCGCCGAACTGCTGCCCTCTGGCATAGCCATCGAAGGTCTGGAGCTGATGACTGCTGCTGATCAGCGCCTCTACGGCGTCCTCCGGGCTAAAACCCAGAGCTTCGGGGTTCAACTGCTGTTGGTACCCGGTCATCCAGTAGAAATCCTCCAAGTGCGCCTTCTGTTCGCTCCCTGATCCCGGACTGGGCGCCGAGAAGCTTGGAGAAGGGGGAACCGAGCTGCAAGGCGTGCTCATCGGGGTGGAAGATAGGGATCCCCCGGCGACCAGGCGGCTGCACTGGTTGATGCTGCGATCGGGCTCCACCGGCTCCTTTTTCACTTCAAACTTCATCAGATCGAAGTCATTAACATATTCCATGGCCAGGGGACTGGTGGGCAGGTCGGAGTTGCTCATTGCCAGCTCTGATGCCATCCTCTTGCTGTTGACAGTCCTCCAAAGGGGGTGAGGAGCACCTGTCAAAGTGGGCTGCTGAGACACGCACTGAGCCAGCTTGATTTCTTTATTTATTTTCTTCAAAACCGGAGGAAAAAGTGAATTTTCTCGCACTAATTGCGCAGCGCAGGTTCAGGTTTTGTGAGTCGATAAGTTTTTTTTTCTCTCTCTCTTCAGTCTGTGTTGCACAGACGCATTGGAGCAGCGCTGTTTCCTCCCTCTCTCCCAGCGTGCGGGTATCTGAGCGCCGCTCTCTCCGTTTCTACCGTTTAACACTTCATGGCTCCTTTTAGGATTAGTGCGCCAATTTGAGGAGGTTCACGTTCGTGTCCCGGGCAAATAGTTGCCTTGTGGAGACGGGGGAAAAAACTCCACCCAAGGATTGATAGATTTTTTTTTCTAAGGGATCAGTCAGCCGACGAGTTAAAAAGCATTGCTTAGTTTTATAGGCGCCCTGACGTCAGGACTGAAATATGAAATTGACTGAGACTCAGCCAATGAGCAGCGCGATCCCGGGACGTAATTAGCATAATAGTAAAGAAACGAAGTTTTCGGACCGTCCAAGTCCATACACAAATTTACACACGAAACCTGATATTCATTTTAATGTTTTTTTCTAGCATGCGTATGAAAATAAAGCAAGCAAAAGAAAACAAATTACGCTTAAGAGTTTAACGATAAATTAAACTGGTCTGTAGCGCATTTTTGACATTTAAGTTATTTTTTCATTTTTTCACTTAACCAACTTAAATATTTCAAGTCGAATTATGTCAGATTTATTACAGCCTCTCTTCTTAAACACTAATCAGACAAACCTTCTTGACCCTGGCCGCATGTAAAACCTTGTATAGACTTTTGAATTAGTTATTTATCCCATTTATTTCACAGGTTTCTTGTTAATAAGCGAATAAATCTCCAACTCTTCTTACACACTACCTATCGTTTTAACTCTCAGCTCAAACACAAAGTAATTGTATGAAAAAAAAACATTTGCAAAATGAGCGTCACGTTAATTGTTCACACTCTTTTCTTAGTCTAATCGCAGAAATAGATGACACGAATCGGGAGGTTGAGTAAGAAGGCGAAACAGTTTGAAAAGAACACGGCACGGGTCTGGCTCGTCTACACTGTTTGGAAACCCAATGTCGCCACCATTCGGTGCAATAAGATACTGCAGGCGACTCTTATCAGGCGGTGTAAACCCATTTTCTTATACATGTCAAGCGATAAAGCATTTACACTAAATGCAAGTCAATATCAAATCCTTTTCTTGTGAAACAGTCTGCAATGACAACATCTTCATCTGTGTCCTCCCATGTAATGATCACAGCATTAGCGGGCCTTTCTCTATCTCTTTGTACGCCTCTTTCTCTCTTGAAGCGCAGTCCTCAGGAGTGGTGGCACATAAGAACAAACAATGAGCAGGGCTATACACACAGGACCGGAGAGTAAATAAGAGCACTCTCCCTGGAACATGTCACACGGGGAAACTTCAGAAAACTACAAAGCCGCCAGCAGATAATCCAACTCCCCGGTGTCCCAACACAAGTAAATATTCTCTTGGTCCCTGTGACTGTTCATGGGGACTTAACGTTAAACAGGAAGGATAAACATCGTGTTTTATTCATTACAGCACACATCAGGGGCCCTTCTGATGCTTTTGAATAAATATTAGCTAGATGAGATATCCCATCTGATGCTGCTACATGCTTTTGCTGCTTGAGTGTAAATTTCAGACTGGCAGGACCGTACAGGAAGCAAACATTAAATTAACAACAATGAATATTTGCTTTTATGTTTACGGTGAAGCCATTTTTAGGTCTTTGAACCACTCTAATGGCATTACACCCTCTCAGTGTCCTATAGAATAGTAGCTATGTAGAAAACGATCTTACAATCAAGGGTTGTAAGAAAGTTCAAAATGAGGCAGTGAATAAAAATTAGAATTTTGCATTTAAGATAAGCTTGAATGCTCAAAATATGTGTGGTTACAGAGAGATGCTCAAGTCATATACGAGTCTGGGCAGATCTGTAGTTGATGCAACAGTAGACACAAGTTGCTGCATGAGCTCTGGGTTTGCCAGATCTCTTAAACCAGGATTTATCTGCCTGGAGTCTCAAGGGTTAACAAGAAGACTAGAGCCAATGCATCAACTGCATTACTGAGGGCTAATAGTCCTGTGTGCATCACTTTCTGCCTCCCTTTGGAGTTTCATACACACGAAGTTTACTGCCGTCTTTGTTACATCACACACACAATACAGGGGGTCCACATAAGTGTATATCATAAAAGCTTGCTTTGCACACAGTGTAAGTGGAGAGGAAAGTTAAGAGCACATGAATTTAAACGTTATACCGTAATCCCATGTTTGACTATAGAATAATAAAAACACACTACAGGATTGGCTCCTACTAGAAATGTTTCTCCAAATGAATTAAGTGCAGATAAAATGAACACAAGTGTCTCCTTCCAGTCAAAGTTTAAGTGTCCCACTGGGAGCATGAAATGCTTAAACCTCATCAATAGCTTTAAATACATTAAAGAATGAAACATTGAACTCTCGGAGGCTTTTACAAAACATTTTTGTGTGTGTTACAAATGCCATTGTCGCAGCCTAACGTTTACAACCCAGCTTCGTGTTAATTGTCCGTCGCCTACATTTGGAAGCTACAGAAACTGTAAATGAGACAATGTCTGACCTTTCAGAGCTTAACCCCAGGAGAACACTGAGGCATTCTGGGTAACTGATAACCAGTGCTCCAGGACTTCCTTATGATTTACTGGTACAGTGACTTTACTAATTGTTACATCTATTTAAAACATCCTCATTACAGTATGACTTATGTGCATGTTGCAATAGACCTCACTTTTTATTTTCAGCACGTTAACCTTTTGTTTGCCTCTGAGGTTCCTTCACGTTCTGCATTTACAGATAATGTTCATGTGGTTGTTTCGTGCTTTGCTACAGTAGAAATGGTTTGCTTATATGCTTGCTCAGCTGTACCTATTTGGAGAAGACGAGGCTAGTTGTGTCTCCAAAATATCATGCAGAAACATCATTTTCACACAACACATAGAAAAACCATGTACAAAACCCCTGCAGTATATTCATTTAAATGAGAAATTTGGGGGGGAGAAACTCATTACACGCACTCTATGCATTTTCAAAATATGAATTTTATAACCTCAGTGTTGAAATTTTAACTGTGCCAAAAATAGCCAAAGTCATTACCACATTTAAAAGACAGTAACTTAAATAAAATGACAGAAACTAAAGGATTTCTGTATTACTAAGATTATGTCTTCTAATCATCCATTACATTCCCAATGGGAGGTAGGCTTCATTTTCATCCTCAATCCCTGTTTAATGCCATATATTAAACTCTGGTGGCACTCCAAATGGAGGACAACCCGACAAGTGGGCTCAGTGGGCTCATCTGAGACACATTTAATTAGAGGGAAAGAAAATGAAATGTTTCGTGGGGTCTTAACTAACCGTTGTATCTTTTGTAATAGAATGAGGAGCCGTGAGAAGCTATTACAAGGAGAAGCAAGAAGAGCTCCACGCTTCCCTTTGCCAGTGTTTTATAGGGGGAAATAAAAGAATGCTTAATAAGATAATAAGCTTCCACATCACAGAAACACGGTGGCATATTTGCAAAGAGGAACATCTGACAGAACGGTCTCGGTCGCCATTTCCCCACCCACTATCTGACTACCCAGCTCCCCAGCCCTGAGTTAATCAGACTTTTACAACCCTTTCAATTCACTTACCTGCTCAGGAAGCAGATAGCTGCTATAACTGTTGGTTAGTGCGGGGATTTGATAAGCTAAAAAAATATTCCAGGTTGATCGTGAAGAAGCAGGCCCTCAACAAGTGAGTTTGTTATATCAAGACAGACAGGGCATCCTGATATAAGTGAGGTTGCTTTGTTGTTTTTCTTCAGTCTATTTCTGCTGTTTGAACTCAGATGGCGGAGAAGATTTTTGAGAATCCAGCACAAGTAAACACGAGTTTCGGCTTCACCCGGGTGGATGAATTTGATTAGGGGGGGGGAAAAAAGCAGCGTGTACTGTAGCACCCTTTCTGCGTGGCTCTGTGGCTGACAGAAAGATGCTTCAGCCTGGTAATTAGCCACAATGAGCAGACTTGCATGTGTCAAACTCTCCTCTTCACATCTGGTTATTGTCTCTCACAGCAGGTGGACATCACAGGCGTTGTCTGAGCGGTCTCATCAGCTCTCTGGCTCTGTGCAACATGGGATACACTTCTATCATATATGTTAAAAAAACAGCAAAATGTCAAGTGCAGTTTGAGTGGGACATCGGTAGTGTGCCGACAGCGCAGTCTGTGTGCTGATGATTTTTAAAGGCTTTTTCAGCACACAAATACGTGACGCCGGATGTAGCAGGTTTTCTGTGAAGTAGTTAATTGTGGATTCAACAGTCCTGGTTCAGGAATGTAATAATGTTTACACACAGATACACAAAAATTAAATGTGAATTGTATGGAACCTGGGCTCATCTTCTCTCATTAGGCACACACTGCTACATTATTGGCCTCATTAACTAGCCCCACCGTGCATCACCCAGCATGTGGAGAAGCAGGTAAATAACAAAAACAATACAGTGTGCATGAGCTATTCATTTCCCCTTAAAGCTAATGGTTTCTAATAGTCTGCTGAACTGAGAGAGACACACTGGGACAATTTTAGCCTTTTGCGGCTAATGACTGTGATTTTCTATTTTTAGGTGTTTACATGAACACAGGGTTTGCCTGTGTGACTTCCAGTGTCCACATGGCATGATGATTCATGTTCTAGTTGGAGATTATGAGTTATTATTGATGTGGCTGTTCTAGTATATGTACTGCGCTATATGCTCTCTGCAACTGTACACTGTTATTAATGTCCACACTGTCCACTCCGTGTTGTTATTAATGTGACTCATATACATAAAGAGTTTCCCCATTAGTCAGAGTGCAACTGTGCCATCATACATAGATGAGTTGCAAAGAGTCCTCCTCCCCCCCCCCCCCCCTCCTCATCTTCACACACATGCACACTCACAAAGTGTGCATGTGTGTGTAGAAAGAATTGAAAGAAAAATAATTAAAAAAACATTTTTAAATAAATAATCATTTCTTTAAGTTCATTATTAAGCAGCAGAGCCAAGAACGGTCACTGACGACGCCTGAAATGTGAGGATTTTCTGTGTTTTACATCAGTGTAAATTAAATATATATTTATTTTTGTCAGACAAAAGTACTGTAATGATGTTACCATGGTGCTGATAGACTGTTTAAAGATTAAGCTGGTTGGCAATGTAAACATAAATAATTTAAACTAATTAAAATTCTGTAAAATGTTGCACTTGTTCCATGCATATACTGTATATCCCTGATATTAAAGCACAGTTTG